TTATTTTAAAAATAAATTTTACAATATAAATGATTACGAACTATTTACAAAATTTATTTTAGAAACTGCTTGGAAGCGATCACCTCATTCCCAGGGGTTATTGTCAACCATGTATTCATTTATACTATAATAACGCTTTTTATACAGTTTCAGCTTAATAAAACATTTAAACTTGGTAATAGAGAGAACCTGTACACTTTCCGGGACCTTGTTGTAATAGCGTATACATTGCCCCAAGAATGAATTACTGACTCTGTGGAGTCGAGAAACTGGTATCACTAGCTTGTGTTTGTTCCTAGTGTTTACAGAATGTATATCACTTCTTTTACTAAAACTATCTTTGTTTTTGTGAACATACATTAAATTTTCGTAAATATACTGAGAGGCCAAAGTTAATATATTAATTTCTTTAAATTTATCTCTAAGAGACTCTCTCGGTTTTAGATTGTAAATAGCTCTAATGGCCCTCTTCTGTAAAACAAAAATAGTTTCTGAATCAGCCGCATTTCTCCATAGCAAAATCCCATAAGACATTATGCTATGAAAATAACTAAAATAAATTAATCTAGCTGTCTCGACACTAGTGAGACCTCTAATCTTTTTTACAGCATAGGCTGCAGAACTTAGTCTGCTTGCTAATTTGGATATATGGGGGCCCCACTGGAGCTTTGCGTCAAGAGTGATGCCAAGAAAAATAGTGGATACAACAGGGCTCATATGGGGCGGTGGTTATTATTTATATTTGTTTGGAAAATCTGATTTTTTTAAATCCATTAATTTTCTATTTTATGTACAAAGACTTATAGATCTATCGCAAAAAGATTAATTTCCTCTCAGTGGACTTAGATTTTTTTTACGTTACGGTAGTAATTTGCACTTTTTGTAAGTATATTGTCAGAATATAAAAGAATAATGTACGTTATGAAGTTCATTGGTCTGTAATATTTCAACTACAATATAGTATTATCTAAAAATCTAACAAGTGGTAAACACAAAGACCAACGTCCTATATAACGCCACACTTCTATTCGGATTAAACGGATGTTACCATAATTTATCGCGCATCTTATCAAGGTATGAAAAATTAGAAGAAACGCTAAAGAGTACTCATTTTTTTATTTATAAGCTTTATAAGAATAATGCTTATGAACTGTGTTAGAGTGCAGTATGCGAAATTCAGTGCTACACACAGTGCGTGTAGCACTCAGTTACGCAGTCACTCAGTTCATGCTGCGTGCGCCAGATTCAAAATTTTTGTAGAAGAAATAAACTTAAAGTGCTCGTAAAGGGATGATTTTAGCGGCAATTTCTAGCTGCTATTGTATAGCCTTCAAGAGGATTTCCAAGTTCCGCAACGTAATGCAATGTTGGTTAGCCTCTAGTCTCAATGCTACTTCATGTTGTTGTACTCAATTTCTCTGTTTATTAAACATTTTACAGGTAGTCGGCACAAACGTCACATACGCATTGGTACTTTTCCACTTTTATAGCAATTTTATTCGATGATTGTTAAGCACAGAAAAGAAACACAACAGAAAACATATTTAAAATTTATAATTTTGTACAACTGACTTCAATATAAATTATTAATAATAACTCAAAAACTATTGGTCAGAACTTGATAAAATTTATATGGGACCACATGTGAAGCACCAGCTTTCAAACAAAAAAGAAGCATTGAAATCGGTTCACGGAGAAGTAAGCAGGGCTTTCTCATCAAAATCTTCCATGAATATATGTTTGTAGAAAAAGACCCATACAGATAGATACTTAAACGGTGATTCTCATCACCATCATTCACAGTTAGCTACCGTGGGTAAATCTTTGTTTCATAGAGCACGGGGGATCTGTGACAGTAAACACCTGGCCGCCGAGCTCCAACACGTCAAGCAAGTTTTGCACGACAACAAGATTCCCGCGCCTACGTCACAGTGAACGAGTGAAGCCGGCCACAGTCGAGCGAGTGCCTGCTGTACTGCCATATGTCAGAGGTGTCACTGATAAAATTGGCTACATCTAGGAGCGTGCTTCCATTAAAACATACTTCAAGCACCCGAAGAAGATTAGTCAGTTTTTCCATCAGTCAAGTGTAATGTCCCTCTGTAAGATGCAGGAGTGTACAAGCTTGACTTTGAATGTGGTCTTGGAATTAGTAGTAGGACTTGGAATAGGACAAACTAAAAAATCAATAAAAACCCGTATTAAAGAACACATAGCTGATGTCAAGAATCGACGCTCTGGGAAGTCTGCAGTCTGTGAACACGTACAAGATCGCCCCCGTCACTACATTAGATTTGATAGACCTGAAATCCTCGCTAAAGAACACCGATTCCTTCCAAGGATGATTCGCGAGGCTATTGAAATCAAAAAATATTCTAATTTCAATAGAAAAGATGGCTAGGTGCTACCATCTGCTTGGAATCCTATAATTAATAAAATTAAGTCGCAATGCAAGCATACATTTTCCCGGTAGTTCATTTAAATATTTATCCTTTTTAGCTGTAGAATTGAAATACAGAGGAAACATAGTCGAAATCACAGTTCCTGTTTATTAATAGCAACTAGGCTGCCACGTTCTTTTATTTTATTTTTGTTAATAAGAAGACGCTTCTCCGCCTTGTTTTTCTCTATGTCGCTTACTCCTACGACACCGCGGAAACAATATGAGGTAATAGATATTCTTACACTGCCACTACACAGTTGGCATTTTAGGTTGGATATGGTTATATGAATGGTCACCAAGACGTTCAGAAATGATTTCTTTATCCACCAAGAAATTTCATAAGATAGTTTCAGCTTTTGTTTTAACTAAACCGATAAAAATGTGCTTTACGTTATTTTTCATAAAATTTTTTTTGGAACTATATATTAACATGAATATTTAATATTCATGATATGTACACATGTATGTAAAACATAATGTTTTACAAAAATAATGTAATTCATTGAATCTTTTAAATAAATATTAACCATCACTTTAACAACCTTATGATAACACAAGCAAATTATAATAATTTTGCTCAACCATTGAATTTAGTGATATTGTCGCGTTTTATTTTAATTTTTAATTTTCCGACATTTCACGAGCCAAATTAAGAGTATCATAAAGCGACGAGCGTGTATGCATAGGTATATGGATGTGGAGAAAGCGAGAAAGGTGTGTCAGGATCGTGCCAAATGAAAGTCCATAGTATATACCTACCCCTCTGGGTGACAGGCGTGAGTGTTTATGTATGTATTATTATTATATGTAGTAGAGCCACGCTACAGCGTATTATGGCTGTAGTATACATGGGTCGGCTCTACCGGGGACAAACAACAATCGCACAGAGTACCAGCATGTGGTGAATGACTGTAACTAAAAGAAATTTTAACTTTTAAAATTGCATTCTAATTTACTCCTAAGGGGTCACAGTGTGTCAATATATTATAGATTCTTAATCGAGTATGAAATGTGGGCGTTTATTGACAGAAGCAGCACTTACCATCAGGTGCTCATTTGACAACCCTACTTCTTTATAAATATAAATATTAATTCAGTCCGCAACACGTATAGTATAACAACACGCATTGGGTCAGCGCGGTGGACACTTATTTGCCCTAAAACCCTCTAAGAAATTAAAGGAGACCTTTATTAACCAATAAACTATTATTTAAATACACGATCTATTATATTATGTAAATATGTACATTGATTCAAGTTTTGTTAATAATATTTTGTAACAGATTTTTTTTATAGGATAGGGTGACAAACGAGCACACAGTACATCTACATCTGTCCTTGCGGATTAAAATGCAGATGCGTTGTCACCCGTGAGGACTAAGATGGAATACTTCTTTTCCAGTGAAAAGGATCTACGGTTCTCTACACTCACCATACGAAACACAGCAGTTTTAAGCTGCTATTTTACGCTGGTATTCTATCAGAGCGTGGTCCTTCCCCGGTCGAGCCGACTCATTCGTGCTACAACTATACTACTAATATAGCTGCAGCATGGCTCTATCACGTATAAAGGCTATACTATAAATAATTTTTATTGTGATTTAAATCAGTTTTATGCTAAGTGCGATAGATTTCATCCTATGCGGTCCAATTAAAATCAATAAGTGCACTCCAGGCAGTGATTCAATTAACTCGATTGCCGCGCCACAAAGTTCATAATAGCCGTCTGTTGCAACATTGTTATTTTTCTGCTTACGGTGAAGTTCTAAGCCATTTTTTTTATAAATATGACCAGTAGTATAGATTGAAAATCAAAATACAAATGCGGTGACACCTGAGTACTAAGATTAAATGTCTGATATACTCTAAAAAGGGTTTGCGTTTCTTTGCACTCACCAAATAAAACAAAGCAGCACTATTTCACGATGGTATTCTGTGTGAGTGTGGTTTTTCTGCGGATGATCCGACGCATTCGTCCTGGAGTCCTACTGGCCATACTAGGTACTTATAAAATTAAGTTAAAAATAGTCACCTATCAAACTGACTGTATTTTCTTATAAATATTTAAAACTAAATATCTGCGATTAGATAATTGATTTTATAGATTTGTGTATAAAAATATGTACTTTCACAATGTATACAAATTAATTTTATAGATATCCAGAACTAGTGCTTTAGGTAAGTCTACCCGTTTTATAACCTAATTATGTGTCGTAAATATATTCTAAATGTAACCGCAAAAAACAAAACGAAACAAAATTTACTTTTAATTTTATTGGACTATATAGTCAAATATAGGTTTTTATGTAATTGTTTTAACTCAGTTATTTTTACGTCATGGATATTGAGATCATAAAATTTATACATTTTACAAGGTATTTGCTTCTTTTCAGAGACTTTGTTTTATGTAAGTTTATACACCAAAAATAAACATACGAGTAGCGCATTACGTTACTACAATTTATTTTTATTTTATGCAAATTTTTATTAATATAAGAGCAGATAGGGCATAACATTTCTGTTAGGAAAGAAAAATAATTATTGTTAATATTTCCATTTAATCAGCGGCTGGGGGACTTGATGTCGGAGTCATTCCAGTAAACTGTAGTAAGACTAGTTCATATGTCACAATTGTTCCCACAATCTAAAAATTTAGAAAATGTTATGAAAAATTTGAATGAATAATTATAACTTTTAACAAAAATTAAAAACCAACTTCAAAAAAGGAGAGGTTCATAATTTGCGAAAATGTTGCGTAACATACATTAAAAAAAACATACACTCGAATTGATAACCTCCTCCTTTTTGAAATCGGTTAAACAAAAAACTTGAAAAATAACTTTTATGTAGAAGTGTCACAATCGCAGTAGGTATATGTAAATAGTAAGTCGATACCACTTTTGACCCGTGGACACCGACATCTATCCGTCAAGGATACTACTTGGTTATTAGAGGTTGTCACTTTTTTGTCCCCTCTAATAACCAAGATAGAATGCTACGTTACCAGTAAAGAAGGTCATCGGTTTCTATTACCCATCGTACGAAACAGCAGCATTACGCTGTTATTTCTCCCAATCGAGCCGATTCATACGTGTTGCAGGTGAAATACGCCGCAATGTAGGTCTAACACGTTAACAACTTTAACACTTTTTAAAAGTTTTAAATTAATAAAATATTAGAAATCGAGCTGGGATGTTAAATTTCGTGTTAAAGCTGATGGAAGCAGGTAGCGTAGGAATATTGGAGCTGCTTCTAACACCACTACATCCGTAATATGCTTGTTATGGACAGCAATTACGATAGTAATGATTGAAAACTTTTTATGATATAAGCAGATCAATAAAACGAACACTCACTGGAGTGGAGTGAATCAGGTAGACCTGATCTTACTGAATTTCATGGACCTAGTCCCTTATTTTATAAAATTTAACTGACAAACGGACTTGCTGACCACCTGATGGTAAGTGCCTATTGCAGGTCATGGACACCTGCAGCCAACTTCACACAAAGAAGGCTGTAGATGCGTTGCCACCCCTGAGAGCTAAGATGGAATGCCTCACAATCTGTAACTATACTGGCTTTTCTAAATGCTTCACACAATGCAAAGGGAGAACTGCTATTTGGCGGCAGACACATGGAAGAGGGTAGTACTTATCCAGATGGACTCCTTGGCAGAAAAAGTCCTACCACCTAGTAGTTTATTTTAACATTTTAAAAATATTTACCTAAATTAAATTGAAAATATCTATGCCATAGGCTTCTACTTCGTTTACCTATTACAACTGTAATAAAATATAAATAAATAATATCGGCATGACTTATTATAGGTACTCAAACACTTACAGACAGCACTAGTCCTTTTTTAATATTAAAAAATTGAAGCCCACTTAATGCAACTGTATCTCCTTGGATTTGGTCTATAAACCTCTGAATCTAAAAAAGAGCTATGTTAAATTAATTCATAATATTAAAAATAACATATAATTTTTGAAAAACGTGGTATATAAATTTTTAGTAAAAAATTTAATAAACCACGTTTTCTCATATTCCTACATTGTAATATGATTCTCAGCTTTGTTCAAAATTTCAAGTCTCTAGTTCAACGGGAAGGGGTCGATATATGAGTTGCAAGATTCCACCCGGAATGACAGACAGACAAACAAGAAAGTAATAACGTGGTAAAATCCTGCCTATAATATAATATAATATAGTTGGTGAATTCGTATCTCTATCAGCCCCATAAAGTCTGCTGCTGCTGTACTTGGGGCAGTCCCACAACGGAAATATTTGTTATAATTGCCACGCTCAGCAGCTGTAATGGCGACTTGAGACTTTAAGTACCGGTTTTCCACCCGCTTTCAATAGCTCCGCTGTAATTCCATCCTCGCCTGGGGCCTTGCCGTTTTTATGGTGCTGGAGAGCCATTCTAATCTCCCTCAGACTGACGTCCGGAATATCATCGGAATAGTGTCGGATAAGTCTTGCTCTTGGACCGTTTCTCACACTTGCATGTGGCTCCAACGAAATCACTGCAACAATCACCTACGAAATCCACATGACGTAATGGATGATAGATTCTTCAATACTGCCACCACATGGAACATTTTGTCTTATGTATGCATCTTCATGATTACAATCATCATAATAGCCCTTCGCAAATCCACTGCTGAACAAAGGCTACTCCCAAGAAACCGTCTTGCGTAGGGTCGTCCTATTTTTGTCTTACCAATACGAGCCTGTTACTCGAGAACCTATAGTCCCATAGATTTTAGGTCAAATTTGTTTTTAAGTTTTGAGGAACGAGAAGAGAAAATGTGTCTTAATCCCCCGAATTCCACCAATCCGACTTTGTTCCATATTGACCTTTTCTGGGAATCTGGACTTACCTAGTCGTACAATTTATATGTGGTAGAGCCATGCCGCTGCTATATTATTAGTATAGTTGTAGCACGACTGGGTTGGCTCGACTGGGGAAGGACTACGCTCTCACAGAATACCAGCGACACAATTGTGGCATTGGTACTACTTTGGTCTTCCAGCGATTCTGTCGAAATCGCTATCAACGTTGAATTAAAGATAGTTACGTTACATATTTCGTAGTTATACCTCAGTACAGTATGCAGTCGATGACACCTCGTACAAAGAGATAGCTGGCTTGCGACTAGATGCATACACACGGGCCGCTATCAACGAAACCGCTAACGATCGCATTACGAGGAATATAAAGGAATACATAAAGTATGTGGCTTGCTCATATCCATACAGGGGCCTGTAATATTAATTGTTTATAAATAGACATAAAGATAAAAAAAACCTATTGGTAAATCCAATTGTGTATGTCTTAAGCGCATTAAAAAGTTACGTCTAATATGATTATACCTAAAAATTTTTAAGTAGTTTAAATACGCATAAGCTTTCACTAATAACCATATTACTATACTTCCAATTTTATATATATACAGTAAAACTTAGTTGAGTGGGACCTGGGTAAGTGAGAAACCTCCATAGCTGGAACTCATGCTTAGGTACCGACCGATACTTTAGCACTGAATTACCTCTGTTAGTGGGTCAAAACAAACGTCTATATCTGGGATTAATTGTTTCGATTTTATCATCATAATTACGAGTACCTATGTAATGGGAGCGAGTGTATTTTACTTCTTTTACTGAGACTATATTTTAGGGATTATTTCTTTCGATTTTATTCGTCATAATTACCTCTATAATTCAGATAGCGAGTACATTTTACCTCTTTCTATATTTTGTGTACCGTTTTGTTTACTAATTCTTATTCTTTTTTTTCTTTTTTTTTATAGGATAGGGTGACAATCAAACACACAGTCCACCTGATGGTAAGTGGTTGCTGTGGCCCATAGACATCTACACATATTCTCATTTGCGAATCAAAATGGAAATGCGTTGTCACCCGTGAGGACAAAGATGGAATGCCTCTCTTCCAGTAAAAAGGGTCTTCGGTTCTCTACACTCACCATACGAAACACAGCAGTGTTAAGCTGGTATTCTGTGAGAGCATGGTCCTTCCCCGGTCGATTCGACCCATTCTTGCTACAACTATACTACTAATATAGCTGCAGCATGGCTCTACCACGTGCAAAATTTCTTAAATTTCTTCAATATTCTACCTGCAAATTCCACACTTGCCTAATTGTGTAAAAGTGACCTCCAGTTTTAGTTTGGTTTTGCTATCGTCCGGATGTTTATTGAAATAGCATCTATTCTCACTTCTATTAATAAAAACCTCTGTACATGAGACATATATTTATTTAAACTTGAATATCTAAGACACTGGGTAAGTAGAATACCTCTTTAAGTGAGACAAATTTGCAGGTCCTTTAAGGTCCCAGCAATCTAGGTTTCACTGTATATATATATATATATATATATATATATATATATATATATATATATATATGTCTTGGATTGATGGCGCCATAGTGCTACAAGCAGCGCCATCTAGCAATTAGCTTTACGAATCAATAATATCGTCACCGGAAACGCAAGCGCGCCCTACCGCTTGGACACGATCGTCGGTACAAGGGATGCAGCGAGGGCTAGTGAAGGGACCGAGTGTTGAGGCAGTCGAGTTCGGACAGCCGGAGCGGACGCTCGCTACCGACGCACGTGTTTGTTTCTCGTGTACAACCATTAGTCCAAATAAAGTTATTTTGATTTAAATCATCTTTCGTTCGTGTGCCCACATTCACATAAAACCATGTCTGGGCGTGAAGAAAACCCGATGCTTCGCATCTCGGCCACCCACGATGCGACATTAGAAGTGGGATACACCAGAGTTGAAGAAAACACGGAGACTAGAGCGATGTCGTCACGGTGCGACGAGAACATGCTTCGGGCGCTGCTGGCTGCTCAAAACCAGAATATGATGTCCTTGATCGGCAGGTACCAAGCATATTTCTCTGCCTGAATTTGACCCTGATAAGTCGGATGTAGACGCACGTGCCTGGTGTACTACAGCAGATCTGTGCCTATCGGAGGTACCGCTTCAGGGAAGTGCTCTAATAATTACCCTAAGCAAGGCTTTGAAAGGTAATGCTTCACGTTGGCTGGCGCAAGTGTCGTTTGCGGGGATGACATGGTGTGACTTCAAAAGCCTGTTTTTATCCCGGTACGATTGTGTGGACACACCAGCCGCTACTCTTGTCAAAATGATGAGTGGCAAGCCTAAGGAAGGTGAATGTTATGCCGCGTACGCCGCCCGATTGCTTTCAACACTCACATCACGCTGGCAAAACATGAGCACTGAGCAGATTGCCATACCTACGGTGCTTGCTCACATGGCACAATTTGATGGGCGTATTCAGAGGCTGGGGTTTACTACCGAAGTCGACAACAGGAACAAGCTGCAGTGTGAACTTCAAGCGCTCTCGTTTTTAAAAAGGAAAGCTTCAACGGCTAACTCGACCGACGCTGTTCCAGAGTTCAAGCGATCCAAGTTTCAGTCGACAACGCTGAAGTGTCACAACTGTGGTAAACTAGGTCATCGAGCATCTGTCGATCAAGAAATGAGGTGAAAGGCAAAACAGCCAATACCACCACCTCGGCGTCAAGTTCTTCAGGACCAAAACAGCGTTTGGATATCATCTGCTTTCGATGCGGCAACGCCGGACATTTTGCAGCAAAATGTCCACGAAGCAATAATGTGGGCACCAGCGCGGCGGGTGGTACGAGCAGTCCTGGGGCAGCGCCTGCCGCAGCGGCGACCAGTGAGCGACGTGTCAACGTTTGTTATGTCAGCAATCCCAGCGGTGTGCTCATGAATGCTGGTGAGTCATACCCATTTTACTACGATTCTGGTGCCGAATGCTCTCTGTTCAAAGATTATGTAGCGTCAAAGTTTAGTGGAAAGCGAGTAAATAATATTGTGAATTTAACCGGAATCGGTCACGTTAGTGTGCAAAGTACCCTACAAATTTTATCTGAAGTTATAATTAACGATTTACGATTAGAGATATTATTTCATGTTGTACCGAATAGTTGTATTAAAAATGATATCTTAATCGGCCGCGAGATTTTAGGTCAGGGGTTCAACGTTAGTATGACGTCTGATAGCGTTGTTTCGTGTCGTGATAAGGTTGTGAGATTAACTTCAAATAAGCCCAAGACGTATACTAATTATCAAATTGATTCAAATAAAGTTAACACAGACATTCCGCCAGAATTTCGTTCTCGATTAATGGATCTTTTGTCAGAATATTCATCTTCGTTTTCTAGTGGTGTACCTAAATCCCGTGTTACGACAGGAGAGTTGCAAATTAGGCTTATAGATCCTAGTCGAACGGTTAAACGTCGCCCTTATAGGCTTAGTGCAAATGAACGTGAAGTTGTTACTGCTAAAGTTCGTGAACTAGAGGAAGCAGGTATTATTAAGCCAAGTTGTTCACCCTTTTCTAGTCCAGTGTTGCTTGTCAAGAAGAAAGATGATTCAGATCGCATGTGTGTCGACTACAGGGAACTGAACGACAACATTGTATCGGATAGGTTTCTATTGCCGTTGATAGAGGACCTTGTATCCAGGTTAGGTGGTGTTACATGGTTCACGTGTCTCGATATGTTGTCAGGCTATCACCAGATTCCAGTGCAGCCTGAATCTGATAGAGCGCACTGCATTCGTCACACCTGATGGTCAGTGGGAATATTTGACCATGCCGTTCGGTTTGAAGAATGCCAGCTCAGTTTATCAACGTGCAGTGATGAAGGCTTTAGGCGATCTTGCTAACAGCTATGCTGTGACATACGTCGATGACATTTTAGTGATAGGATCGTCTGTAGAGGAGAATTTGTTTCGTCTTCGCACTGTGCTAGATAAATTAACAAAAGCTGGTTTCTCCCTAAATCTTGCTAAGTGTTCCTTTCTTAAGTGACGGGTAGAATATTTAGGCTTTGTTGTTGAGAACGGCCAAATCAGTCCCAACCCAAATAAAATTGCAGCTTTGTCCAGACTTCCCCCGCCTAAAACCATCACTCAGCTAAGACAGTTCATAGGGCTGGCCACTTATTTCAGACAATTTGTGCCACAGTTCTCAAAAACGATGACTCCTCTATTTCGTCTAACGAGTGGCAAGAACAGGTCCATTGAGTGGGAACCTAGCCATGAGGCTGTTCGTCAGAAAATTATTTCTTATTTAACCAGTAAGCCTATTCTAACGATATTTGATCCTGCACATCCAATAGAGTTACACACTGATGCCAGTGCTGAAGGATATGGTGCTATTTTTATTCAAAAGATTAATGGGATACAACATGTGGTTGCTTATTACAGTCGTCGTACATCCCCAGCCGAATCAAAGTTTCATTCATTTGAGTTAGAAACGTTAGCTGTGTTCAATGCCATAAAGCATTTTCGACATTATTTGCTAGGTCGTAAGTTTACCGTTGTGACAGACTGCAGTTCTGTTAAATCTTCTAAAAGCAAAACTGATTTGTCTCCACGAGTTCATCGTTGGTGGGCCTACATGCAGTCATTTGAGTTTGATATCATCCATCGTGAAGGCAGTAGGATGAGCCATGTAGACTTCCTGTCTAGAAATCCCCTCCTTAAGCCCGAAGTGGCTTTCACTCGTGTGGAACAAAAGCGTATCGATTTAGCTGAGCTTTCTAGTAACTGGTTGCAAGCTGAACAGGAAAAGGACGAAGAGATTAGTAAGATCGTTTCTGATCTTCGTAACGAAGTCTTTCCTGAGGAAACTCGCAAAACCTACGAAGTTCGTAAAAACATTGTATATCGCCAAATTCAGCGTAACGGTCGCACTCGATGGCTGCCTATCGTACCTAGATCGCTTAGGTGGTCTGTGATTAATAACGTCCATGAGTCTGTCATGCACTTAGGATGGGAGCAAACTCTCGAAAAGATTTACGAGCACTACTGGTTCGAAGGCATGTCGAAATATGTGAGGAAATTTGTGGACAACTGCATCACATGTAAAGTAGCGAAGCCCCACTCGGGTAAAGTTCAAGCAGAACTGCACCCGATTCCCAAGTTCAATATCCCCTGGCACACAATCCATATTGACGCTTCTGGTAAATTATCTGGGAAGAACGACATCAAGGAATACGTGTTTGTCATATTAGATGCGTTTACCAAATTTGTGCTACTTCGTCATTCGCTAAACATCGACACAAATAGTAGTATTCGTGCTATTAATTTCTGTATAGCTCTGTTTGGTGCACCGAAACGCATAATAGCAGATCAGGGTCGTTGTTTCGCTAGCAAAGATTTTTCTAGTTTCTGCACTTCTAATAACATAGAGTTGCACTTGATAGCTGCTGGAGGCAGTCGTGCAAATGGTCAGGTCGAGAGGGTAATGAGTACGCTTAAGAGTATGTTAACAGCGGTAGAGACTAGTCGTGACCGCTCTTGGCAGGACGCATTAGGAGAGGTTCAGCTGGCTATGAACTCTACTGTTAATAGGGTGACTAAATATAGCCCTCTAGAGTTGATGATAGGCAGGGTAGCACGAGCGCTTAGTTTAGTGACCGCCGATGATGATGATGTGACTGAAGTTAACTTGGATGAGATCAGAAAGCACGCGACACAGAATATTAAAAAAATGCCAATTATGATAAAAATCGATTTGACCGAAATAAGGCTCGGGTTTGTAAATTAGCTATCAATGATTACGTTTTAATTGAAAATGAGGAGAGGAATCAAACGAAATTAGATCCCATGTTTAAAGGTCGTTTTAAGATTATCGATGTGTTAGATGGGGATAGATACCTACTAAAAGCGCTTGACTCTAAGCGAACCTACAAATACCCCCATGATCGTATGAGGAAGGTCCCCGATCACCAAGTTCCTCGAGAATTAGACGTCATAGTTGATGACGGTGATAGTGAAACCAAATCTAATTAAGAATGGCATGTATACTCATACTCGAAACTTTAGACCGCACCTCATGAGTAACATGTGGCGATGGGTCTGTAGGAAATCGTTGGTGCGATTTCTGTATGTATTGGTACACAGAGCCCCTCATGTGTTGTAGCATATTTGGCGGCAGATATGTGGGGAATCGTTGGTGCGATTCTCGCATATGTGACGGCAGATATGTAAAGAATCGTTGGTGCGATTCTGGTCTGTGTTGGTGCACAGATTTCAATGAAAGTTTCACGAGTTGAATATACATTGCTTATGAATTATGGTAAAGAGTAACAAAATTGTTGGAATTGCTGTGTTGGAACTTGTTGATCGGACCTTTCACAATAAATCATGTAATGCAGGAAGCACTGTGTAAGAAGCCCTAATAATAGGGCTTTATCAATTATGGTAGTTGATTATTGTACTTAGATTTAGGAGAAATAAAGTACCTTATGGAATCAACCTCGTTTTTATTGGCAGGATAGCCGAGCTAAGTTATTCTCTGAGCATATTTTGTCCACAGGCACTGCACCCGAGGACGGGTGCTAGTCAGGGATGGCCGTGTCGTGGATTGATGGCGCCATAGTGCTACAAGCAGCGCCATCTAGCAATTAGCTTTACGAATCAATAATATCGTCACCGGAAACGCAAGCGCGCCCTACCGCTTGGACACGATCGTCGGTAGAAGGGATGCAGCGAGGGCTAGTGAAGGGACCGAGTGTTGAGGCAGTCGAGTTCGGACAGCTGGAGCGGACGCTCACTACCGACGCACGTGTTTGTTTCTCGTGTACAACCATTAGTCCAAATAAAGTTATTTTGATTTAAATAATCTTTCGTTCGTGTGCCCACATTCACATAAAACCATGTCTGGGCGTGAAGAAAACCCGATGCTTCGCATCTCGGCCACCCACGATGTGACATATATATATATAGATAAGCGGAAACACATAAAAATGTACTCATGATATTTATATCGCTAAAAACTTCCTTACGAGGTACGTCATATGATCAGACTACTGGTGGTTATTGACGAATATTTCTTTTATGATACTAAACTTTTGTCGTCAATATAACAACAGGCTACCAAAAGTCCACTGTCCAACATAACATACGCCTCCGCATTGGATTGCCTTAGAGGAGCGATATTTGCCATAGTTGTCATAATTGGTGGTAGATTGGCTATCGCCGTCTTTAGGGTTTCGTACCATAATTTAATGTAATGCACATCTTTGGCGTATCCGTTTATATCCAGCAGTAGGTAAAATATAAATTAAATATATTTACACGAATATATTGTACAAATAAATAAATTTTATGTACCTTACGTGTTGGTTACTACATAAATTTGTAGCATTGATGCCATTTCTGAAATTAATTTAAAAAAATAATAATTTAATGTATTATTTATTGTACACCAAATTGAAACGAGACAAAATTAAATATATATATATATTTTGTGTTCATCAAAGTAACTCCTATAAACCTTAATAAAATTAATCCAATTAGCAAAAAGTTTATTTGTATGTATTTAAGTCGAATTCAGTTAAAAGGTCGAATTGAACTTTTATTTAATTGCAAAAGTGTACTTACTTTAACGTATTATATAGTTGGAGGCAGATAAAAAAGAGATTGTTTCCGAAAGAGATAAATATTATAGCTCCAATAACATCGTCAATACGCCTCACAAGAGACGCAGCTCTACAGTAATCTTCGCGGACCGTGCGCCAAAAGTACGGCGACATAGTCTAAAAGGCAATGTGTATATGTACATAATTAATAGTTACATATTCAATAATAAAATTAATAAATTAAAAAACATTTCCAAAAGTTGTTACCAATATTTTAAACTCAACTTTTTTGATAAAGTTTTAATAATGAATTGGGGACATGAGAAAGTTTAACGTTATCAATATTATAATATCTTAAAAAAACTCTTACTTTACCGCGAGCTGCAACAATTTTTAGGTTGACTTGTTCTAGTCTTGAGATCAAGTAAAAGCTAATGCAGATAATAAATAAATCCACAAAACTCCAAGTGAATGTGCACTGTATTATGACAAGCTGAAAATTAATAAAAAAATCTATTAATAAAATTATATTATACCATATATTAAATAGATACGATATTTCGTAGACTCTATTTCATTTGCCACTTCAATCACCAATTGGTGCGGCAATAATATAGATTACGGCAATTTTTCCCAAATTTTGATGTCGTGGACTTAATACAACCTGATGAAGATTACTGTATAATTCAATTAAGGCTATGTAAGTAATTGGTAATAAAATTCACTCATTGTTGCGTTTCAAATTTTAGAGCATACGTAACCGATGTCTCATATGACTATACTATATGCCGTCTCCCAGCTTAATTGTTAGGATGCAGATATCCGTACACTGCAGTGGTACCTAACCATCAAGTAAACTTACCAATACATTTGTTACAACCATAATATTTTTAAAGGTCTTGATTTTTTTATATGATAACGGTGACGAGTGAGCACACCGTTCACCTGACGGAAAGTAGTTGCTGTGGCCCATAGACATCTACATCTATCTGCGTTTGCGACTAAAATTCAGATGCGTTGTTAGCCGTGAGGACTAAGATGGAATGCCTCTTTTCCAGTTAAAAGTGTCTCCGGTTCTCTTCACTCACCAGACAAAATACAGCAGCATTAAGATGCTATTTTACGCTGGTATTCTGTGAGAGCGTAGTCCTCCCTTGGTCGAGGCGACTCATTCATGCTACAACTGCACTAATGACATATTTGTAGCAAGGCTCTAATACGTATAAAATATGAACGTAACATTTTAATATTTTTAGGCTTTTAATGAATTACACTCCAGGCAGAGGATAATAATGAGTGCACAATTTATATAAGAAATCCTTATTAAGAAGTCCTTTATTTCTATCCATATACAGGGTTAAGTGTTAGGTGATGTTTAGTAAGAAATAAGATTTTTTATGTATGATTTCAGCATTCAAGTAAAGTAAAAGTGTTAATTAAAAAAAATGAGAAACACTTTAAAATTTTGACAGCTCCATTTTATATTTAGCCTAATGAGCATTTAAAAAAATAAGAAATGATACAGGAGAACGTACAAACTAAGCAAAATATAATCAATAAATTATAACGGTAAAAAATTGGGACAGTTTTATATACCTGTAATAGAAATCCAATAACATGGTTATAGGGCAAAAACACGAAAACCCAAGGAAAGTTATGAGTTATGAAAGCTTCGTAAGCATTTTTATGTGGTTGACAATCAATCACTGCCGCAAATCCCGATAGATCTGATAAAATGTGTTCAACTGCAAATAAATGAGTTATTATTTAAGTATATAGTACCGTATAATATACTATTGATCTGACAACCGAGGTACAGTGCCTTGGTGTTCATATGTGTCCACGGCTTGACATGAGTTCCTCTCAAAGTTAAGAGGATTTTCCGTAATGGCTAAGATTGAATATTTTCTGAAGATGTTCTGATCTTGTCCAACAATCACTGTTGCCGAATAATATTCGGATAAACATAGTAGTCTCACATGAAATACCACACTATATGCTGAGTTTAAAGATGTTTCCGTGTACATAGTTTACAAAAAGATAACTTTTTAGTATCTATTTATTTTATCTTAATTAGTTTAGTTTTTATACTAAAATTTTAAAATGTTATTTTGAAATTAGTAGTAACAAAATACTCTTTGGCATTTTGATAAGTAACTCTTAAATCTGTGTTAAATTTTAATGTACATAAATCTCACCAAGGGCTAAAGTAAGGACGAGTACGCAGGTCACATTACATTTCTTAACTAGTGTAGTATCGAAGTTAGGACTTAAAGCTTCCGTCATAGATATTTGTATGCAAAGTCGCGGCCATGTCATAGCCATCCGAAGAAATAGTACCATTGTAATAAAATTAGAACTGTAGAATACTAGAGAAGCTGAAATGCGCATGATAATGTTATTTTATCGCTTTTTATAACGTTTATAAGAACATAACATAAGTCAAAAGTAGATAAAACTTAATTTTAATATATTTATATAAATACATTACAATTAATCTTAATATATTAAGTGAGACCCTCTTTATACAGAGAATCTTATTATTTTTTTCTTCTTTTGACTAAAATAGAGGCATCATTACTTATAAAATAATTTCACATTATTCTTCCTAATTTTATAATTCAAACGAAACTTTTCTATACGCGAATATAATATAATCATTAATTATTTTCTTTTTATTTCGATCATTAAATCTTATTTTTTAGTTTCATTATTTACAACTTAACAACTTTACTTTAGTTTAACAACTTACACCTATACTGAAATAGATACTGCCATATTATTTTTATAACAGAATTTAAAAAATCCACTTACTGTTGGACGAGAGTGATGTATCAGTGTCCTTTATATATTTTAATATGCAAAAACATAACATTGTGCCTTGCCCCAAAATCGATAATACTGTGTATATACACCGTGCTGAATAAAATGTAAACCTGGTTAAACATTCCAATTGTATATAACTTTATTGTATTTAATGTCCACAAAATTAAAACACAAAAAAGGTAACGAAGGGCACATTATGACACTGCCTCGCATTTTTTTAGACTTAGGGTGACAAATCAGCACACAGTTTACCTGATAGTATGTTTGTTATTGTCGCCCATATACACATATATTTATCTTTGATTAACATTCAAGATGCAGTGAACTATGAATGAATATTTGCTTACCAATAGACATC